TTATCACTCCGCTCAAATTTGGCGACTCAAAGTTGTCCAAGGCGATGCTGTAGAGCAGTCGAAATACCACACATATGTAGGACAAGGAGCTGGGTATGTGCTCGTCAAAGCTGCAAGGAATAGTAGCTTAATTATTGTGTGCCCTAAAACAAAGCTGAAAAAGACTCACCTGAAGCTCAGTATGTCGCCGCTGAATACGTCATGGTAGTACTTCAATAGCGTTTGTTGCGGCTCATAGTTGCCCGTGAAGTCCTGCAGTATTGTGCCGCTGCCAAAGCAGCCAAGCAGACGCAACGTGTCGCACAGCGAACTATTGCAGATCTCCTGATGAAAGAATTTCGCATTTGCGGGCTCGAAGCGCATGGCAGTAGCCAGCGTCTGGCAGACGATCTGCAGCAGCAAAATGAGATCCTGTTGGGCAATGTCCGGCTGTGGCTGAGCCATGCTGCCATCCAGCGAGACAAACACGCTGGTCAGATAGACAAAGCCGCCCACCTTGCGGAATACGGTGCGTGTGCGATGCGAATCCTTGAGGCAGCCCAACAGCATGTTTAGTATCTGGATTTTAAACTCCACCTGATGTGGACTGATGCTGTGCATCAATGAGAGTATATAGAGCATGTCATCATCTCCACCAGCGGAGAGTATCAGCTCCCGAACTATGCCTAGCGCCTGGGGACGGCAATGCTTATACTTGACCAGCTCATGGACGCACTTGGCACCGCCATATTCGCGAAATAGTTGCGCATTGTTGCTGGCACCGCCGCCCAGCAGCATTGTGAGTGCCTCCAGCACATGTTTGCCCAGTGTGTCGAGCAGATCCTCCTGCTCCTCAGCGCCTGGCTGTACGACAAGCGAATCGTCACCGTTGGTAATTTGTCGCACGTGATCGGCATATCGATTCAGGCAACTAACAAGGATCTCTAGTATGCCCACCTCGCGATAGACATCCTTGAAGACGCTGTTGTGGCGCAGAATGTTGAGCAGCGTCTTCAGGCACAGGATGCTGCAGGATGTCGATTGATTGTGCTTGAGCAGCAGCGATAAGCTGATCAGCTCCTTGCAGGGCACAAAGTTCAACTGAAAGACTATAAACTCGAGCAGATCATAGAATTTCTCCTGTATTTGTGGACTCTTCTGGTGTATGCGCTCCGCAAAGCTGCTCAGCGTGTGCTCCGATTCGAGTATAAAATAATTGGCATTCTCCGAGTGATAAACACGCGAAATAGCGTCCAAGATGGTGCAGCACAGTGCAGGTGTTGTCGATCTCAGAAATACCGTCTGCAGCACCTGGAATGCATACACATTCCGTACGCACGTCTCCCGTGAGCTGGCCTGCGGCAACTGGAAATTTTGTAGCTTAAAGGCCGTATTGAATTGCGCTGCCGGCGGCCGGAGCTCGTAAAAGCCGCACATGCACAGCGATGAGATCATCAATACCAAGTTGCGTATAGCTGCCTGGATTTCCAATGTTTGACTGCGCGCATTGTCGAATCTGTCGATCATGTAGGGTTGTAGATTACAGGATATTAATATTACAATTAAACCACTCACTTGAGCAAAAAGTCACTGAGAAACACGTAGCCCTGGGAGGCGCGAAAGTCGTCCATTAGTATCTGGGATACTTGACTAGAATCCTTGAGGAAGCAAAAGACGGTGACAAACATTTCGACTATTTCCAGCGGATTGCCAAACGTCAAACGTTGCATGTTGTCCACGCACAGCGCCATGCAGCCCTTGGCTAGAGTTGTAGAGTATAAATAATTAAAAGCTTAGTTTTATCTAAAATAGATGTTTTTATACACTCACAATGTATGTAGGTAACAACGGCATCGGTTAAACCGTGTCTCGAGATGGTTGTCAGTATTTCGGCTGCGTTCTTGCGCCACACAATATTTTGCATGGGGCAGGGTGAGGTGATGGCGGAAAACAGTAGCGTTAGATCATCCATGCGAGCCAGCTCCTCAGCTGGATATGGATAGGAGCACAATTTCACGAGCAGCTGCACAAAAACCTTTTGCAATAATGTGCGACGCTCATGGGCATTAAAATCACTGGCACTGGCACCTTCAGCCGGCGGCTCATCGTCCTCCACTTGGGGCAGATCGAAGAACAAATACAAACACTTGACTAAAGTTGAGGGCACCGATGCAGCTGTCATCACCTAAAAGGAGGGGTATTTGGAGAGGGAGTTAAACCTTATATCATATGCCTCAAGACTAGAATGGATCCTAAGCTTTCTGTTCTATTGATACATTACGAATAATTCAAGGATCATATTTTTGTGTTCCTCACACTTTAACAATTTTAGATGAACAACGAATTAATTTGAGAAATATCTGACCTGTAGGATACACAGTTTTTTTTAATTAACAGCACTTAATATACACTTGTATACAGTCCCAGCCACAGCTAGTATATTGTATATTAGATATTACATATAAGATACAAAATACAGCAGTGATTATAGTGCTAATATGCATATAAAAAGCTATAAAGTTCTTAAATCATTGACATTCAAGTGAGGCCAGCAAACGAATGATAAGTATAGAGGTCACTTTAATATCTCTCCCATACACTCATAAAAATATCTATAGTTTCGTATATATGCACATATGTATGAATATCTCTAGGAGACAAATGTGTCAAAGAAAGGAAGGCATTCTTTGACACACCGATTATTAAATGCCCTTGTAGACATATTTTTATAAGAAAACATTATTTCCTTCCGATTTTTCCTATTGGGAGCCCAATTTGAAGCAGTTTAGTATAAATGTTATGTCAAGATATATGTAAAAAATAACATTTCAACCGCTTCCCTGTTGGGAGCTATGACTAAGACCATGACTATATCGACTCGGCAGTTGATGCTGATTAGGAATATATATACTTTATCGGGTTACTTCTAAAAGGGCATGCAAATCAATTGGGCTGCGCATGCATGTAAAGCTTGCTTTTGGAACTTAAAGCTCCAGATCATAGAGTTCAGTTGTGTATAAATAGATAGTTTTACATCTGTACTTGAAGCTAACCTGTATGAGCGAGACATCGCCATTGGCCAAGAGATTCAGTGTGGCCAGCAGCAGCCAACCGCTGCTGGTATCCTCCGTTGTTTCCACCTCGAGAAACTTGACAATCGCTATGGAGGCAGCCTCTGTGCTTTGATTCGATGCACGTTTACGTATCTCGCTGACCATTAGGCGGGACACCTGCTGACAGAAGGCAACCACGTCCCAGAATTTTTCGCTCATATCGTTAGCAGGGCTGCTGCTAAACACCTGCAAAGCCATAAAAACAGCAAAATAATTAGTTGACATATTTAAAAAATAAATTTAAATATTTCAGTAAATTCCACAAACCTTGCAAAATAGAGGCAGCATTTCATAGAGCTTGCCATCCCGTTCGTTTTCGCTGAGCGGTTCCTTGGGATGCGTGTACTCGTTGAAGAGCTTTTTCAGTGTGGCCAGGCTCATTTGTATGCGTGCATCTAGTAGTGCTTCCTCGCCGGTGCGTCCGTTCGCCGCACTGGGGCTGGCATTGCTGCTGCTGCTGCTCGATGCGCTGCCGCTGCCAGCGCTGGCAGCGCCGCGCAGCTTTCGCATAACGTTCATAGCTGTTGTTGTTAATTTCGCTGTCGCTGCCGCTGCTGGTGCTGGTGCTCAAACTGCAAATGCGCAAAACAAATTGAATTACTTAAACGGCTGAAATATAATCACATCATCCAGCGTCCACTTGACATTCTACATTCTATTGCTTTGCTGCATTAATTAACGACTCCGTTGGCTGTGATTCACCGAGAGAGCTTGGCAAGTTGTCTTCCACAATTGTTATCGTAGTTGTTGTTGTTGTTGTTTTTGCTTTTCAAAATTCATTGTTTTTTAAGGCGGAATGTTTATACACGACGCGCCCATCAAAGTGAACGAACGTGCGAACGAACGTTCGCCTCTGTGTTTGAACTGTCTGTGAGTGTGTGTGTGTGTGTGTGTATAAATGCTTAAGCGTGGGCGAAGCGCTTTGTTGCCAGTTCAATGGGGTTAAGTAAACTAAATGCCGCTGCTTTGGCAACTTTTCAATAAATCAAAAAAACAAATATTTACACTTATTGCACAAACAATAACTGTAACAGCTGTTTGCCGTTTACTTTTGCTTTGCACTCTTTTCTCTTTTTGCTACTGTTCACAACCTGCTGCTGCCAACGCATTTGGGGCATGAGTTGCAACTGAAACCAACGGCTGCTCTTTTTTCGCGTTTTCTTCATTCCACGCGCTTTCGTTGCGCGCTCTTTGTTTTGCTCGTGTCAATCGCGCTGCTACGACAATTTTTATTGATTTTTCTGCTCTCTCGCGCTCTCTCCGTCCAGCGGAGCACCATTGCTTCGGCAGAAAGTTGAAAATTTTCACAAACATTTTTCACCTAGTTTTCATTTGATTTGACACTTACTTTTTATGCACATATCAAGCATGGTTTTTGTTTTGCGTTTTTCATTAGTTTTAGCAATTAATTCATTTGTTTTTCCATTTAAAAATACGTTTTGTTGCACACGAACGAACCGATGTTCAATAAAGGAGAACGATATTTACGTGACTTGTTAGAGCTGGCACAAACTATCGCACGTAACGGATGAAGAGTCACGATATTTATTTTCGAAAAAATTTGTATTACCTGAATTATTAATACATATGCTAATTATTTACATGTACACCATTTCGATTGCATTATTTTGAAAAAGCTTCTGTTTATATATCTCCCAACATATCGCTTACTGCGCTAAAAATAAACATCACTTTACCGCTCAGCACTGTTGTCAGCTGCCTGTGTTGCAAAACGGCGCACATTGCTCTCTCCGAGTGGGCTGCCAGCCCACTGCAAACACTCTCTGTGCTGCCAACTAAAGTGAATTGTATGTGGCGCGTCGCTTAAAATTTAAGTAAAAGTAATATCTATTCGAAAAAAAGAGATTGTTAAATGGCCATCAATACAAAAGCTGTCATTTATTTGTATATTAACGACACTAAAATTACTCGAATATATTTGAAGTTCAAGAACATCTCGAACAATCGAAATGGCTCTTAACAATTCGTTCACCGAGGAGCCAGTCACACTTTCATTCTCCTCGGAAGAGGATGAGGAGTCATCGCGGACAATTTGTATAATGCCCCCGCGGCCAGGCACGGCGCCCAAGACTTTCCACGAGCTGCATATACCGCGCGAACAATTAACGCCCGTCCATTATCCCATACAGGAGGCGCAGCGTTGGCTAACGTTGATGGGCAAAAATGGCAAAGTCTATCGCTTTCCGTTGCCCACTATTCTGCCCAAGGTTATACAGACCCGTTTCGTGCCCAAGGGCGAGTTGCCCAAGGACGTGGCTGTGGATCGCCGTCGAAGACAGTACAGCAGAATCAATTTGATCGAGGAGCTGAAAAAAGCCGGACTTACCGATGATATGCTGCAGCCCACCGAAGAGCAGTACGATCTGATGTCCGAATTTGCCTTCCCGCACAAATTTCCGCTGAGCTATTTCGATGACAGCAACTACGACATTAGCTCCCCAGAAGCCTGGTTTGAGCTCGGCATCGTCGGCGAAGACCATTATCCGCTTCCGGCACGTGCCTATCTGCCCTATAATCGGAGTCTGCGGAGCTGCCACTGGGCCATGGCAGCGGTCTCATCGTACAACGAGAAAACTGACCTCTGGACGCTAACCTCATTGGACGACGAATGTAACTACGAGGTTCCCAAGTTGCAGTTCATGTTCCTGGCCGAGGATCCGCACAAGTACATACAGCGTCTCAAGGCAGCCGTGCATGAGCGTCACAAGGGCGAACAACTGATGCTTATGGAGCTGATTGTCGACTGTGTGCTCCACGATGACATCGAGTCGACGACCTTCCAAAGCTTCAAACCCATTGAGGCGCTGCTGCAGCAGTCCAACGTCTCGGAGCAGTGCAAAAGGCGTCTAAGGTCCGAGGTTAACATCGTGTTTGAGCGTCTGATGGCACTCTATGAGCTGGAGCAGTTTATTATACACATGCCCAAGGAGTTTCCGCAGTTCCGCAACATATCCTTAAAGGAGTTCATGCCAGCTGCCGCACCCGTTGACTTTGCCGAACACGAGCGCCGCGAGCTTCAGGCTCTCGGCATCAATATAAAGGAGAAACGGTATCTCTGGCTGCGAGCCAGCCTTTTTTACTGCGCTGGCGGCATTGACGCCATGATGGGCGTGGCCGTCGAGTGTCAGCACATCGAAACGCTGACCATATTTGTATGCAATTTCAATAAGCCAACAGCATTGGTGGACTTCCTGCAGTCGCAGGAGGCGCACAGCGACACTGTCTCCACCTTTCTGAAGGTCTATTGGCCGGAGCAGCTGACCACGGTGATAACCATTGTGTTACGCGCCTTGGGCAAGGGCTGGCTAGATATCTCGCTCAACAATTGGACGGTCTACCAGATGTGCAAGATCTTCCCTTTCATATGGCAGGTCAAATTTCGCATGCAAGAGTCCATGGAGGTGCTGCTGCTCTCGTCGCTGATGAACTTCTCGAAACTGGTCTGTGATCCCTGTTTGCAATTTCTGCCACTCAAGCATAATTATAAGTGGACCAGCGATTTTATCGAGACTGAGTTTCCCTTTCCAAAGCCCGTCTTTGCCCTGACCATAGGTATTAATGAAGAACGGAAGGTCTTCTACTCAACGAATCCGGATGACTTTCAACCATCTCTGATGGATATTTACAAACGGGGCCTGGAGAAGACTTCGGGCGTCCGCACCATTGATGCGGATGTGATGAGCAATTTAAAGTTCGCACATAATCTATATATATTGACCGTCGAACTGATCGAGGACAGGTTCCTTGAGCAGAACGAACTGATGCGTCGCTGCTATGCTCAGGCGGTGCTTCCGCTGAAGGCCTATGCGCGTCATTACGAGAGATTCATCGACTTTTATCTGCTGAATGTAAACGACTTTATGAAGGATTATGCGGCGGCCCATAAACCCTCATCTCAGGTCAAGTGGGATATACTGGAGCACAAGCGGCAAAAGGAAGAGATTCGTCAAATATTGCCCGCCTACATAACAATCGGACCTTTCTACATTAATGTGGACACCATAAAGCAGTTCATGATCAAGAAATACATTGAAATAGTGCGCCGCATCTTTGAGTACTACGTGGATCGCATGTATGAGACGAACGAGCAGATAGTGGAGCGCTGTATGGAAGTATTCAATAAAATTGCCGTGCGTCCTATAAGTATTGAGCATCTGTTCGAGATTCGGGATTTTGCACTGACAGTGCCCGATGTGGTCGACCAGCTGCGTGCCGATATACAGGTGATGTGGCTGGAGTACGATCTGCTGGATAGTTTCTTCTACAATCTGAGCGATCATCAGTTTGCCATGAAATGGAATGCCTTTGCCTGGCCACATCAGATCCTGGTGAGGTTGTCGACACTGAAGGAGGAGCAGAAGCTGGACATTGAAGAGTTTCTGCGCCAGCATTCCAGCGAATGCCAGAACTTTGAAGAGCGTCTCGAATCGCTCAACGATGAGGTTCAGGCTTTCTCTTTGGCCTTCAATCCTAATCGGGCCCAGGAGACTTCTGTTGATATAAAACTAACTTGGGCGCTGATAAGGGAATTGGAGAAGGTCGGACAAACGCTGCAGTATCGACAGGAACTCTTCGAATTGGAGCCACTTTCCACGGAATTTCTGACCAGCATCATCAAGAGCTTTGAGCCATATAAACAGCTATGGTATGCGTGCGCCAACTTTCAGAAACTGGAGGACGCCACTCTGGGTAATCCAATTGCACTGCTCGATCTTGATGAAGTTTGGACCAATCTAATGAATCTGCGCAATGAGCTGGTTGAATCGCTGGACAACTTCAGCGAGAAGCCAGAGATTATGGATGTGGCCCATGTATTTATTGGCAAAATCGATGAATTCATTCCCGTATACAATAGCGTCAAGGACTTGCGTAACGAAAACTGGATGTATTTGCATTGGATGGATCTCAGTCGTGTTATTGGCAACGAAATAAAGTATACCGCTTCGATGAACTATCAATATCTCATTCGAAAAGGCATCTTGGACTTTCTGCCGGACGTGCATGCGATCTCTGTTAAGGCCACCAACGAGGCTGAGGAAATTCAACGCGCCATCGAGGAGGAGGAGCGACGCAAACAGGCCGAGTTGGATGCCTTGCTGTTGCGAAAACAGTTGCGCAAGTGCCGCAGGGATATTGTTTAGAAGATTGGCCCCTCAAAACTAATGACCATTCCATACACATTGCAAAGTTCGATGTGCGTTTTTGGTTTATGCTTCAATAAATCGCATTTAAACATCGTTATAATTGCATTGAATAACCATTGGGATTCTAATATCATTGTCTTATTTGCTTTTTTCTGTTATCCGTGTTTGACGTTTTTCTTCTGAGTTTACATTTACACCTTCTGTACAAGTTACATCATTACCGATTTTTCTTTTACGCTTTTTTTTCATCGCCTTTCTATACAATTCTCATGCTCTCAGGTCTCAGTATCTCATCCACATTTTTATCTCTTGCTTAAATATCGTCTTTCAATGTGATTCTCCTAACTTGAAGTGAATCTAAAATAATATTAGCTTGCTAGTGATATATAAAATTAATGCTTAAACTCTTCTGGCACTAAAAAATAAATTGGCTCTTTTACTTTTAGTTATGTTATCATGAACTGGCGGATCATGTGAAAGGAAACATTTTTAAAACTAAAAAGTACTTACAGACAATCAGAGCCTATGTTGGTAAGTTTATAAGTATTAATAACTGCTGCTTTAATTTGTAAATCTTAAGATATCAATACGATATACGTGACATCCATATATTTTCTTAGGCATTTATTTTATATTTTTATAAAATGTATTCTGTCTGTAATAGAACTCAGAACCCCTGGTGACTAGAAAAGCTGTAAACTTGCATTAGTTCTCATTGAGACTAGAATAGTTATAAAGATCAGTCCGAAATTGGCGACAATTCGCAGGCTTGATCCGGTTAGCCTCTTATGCTGCGCCTTGAAGAACATCACGGTTACGGCCAAGGGCAGTTCCACTTGCTGCTCACGTGCATCGAATTCCAGGTCATGTCGATGACCCAGCACCAGCCTCGCATGCTGCAGCACATTCTGGTGTGGCACGTGTCCTCCGAGCAGTGTCAATTCTGTCATATAGAACTCGTAGCTAACGCTGAGCAACATATTGCGGCAGCTGAGACTCTGCTGTTGCTCATCGTAAACGCCCTGAATGGGTGGTAGCTGCTGACCATAAGCAGAGCCCAGCTGGATTGGCAGCCATTTATCCGGCTGCGGTCTGCCCAGCTGCGAGACAAACACCTTTCCCAGATCATCGAGCCGCGTGCAATTGTGAGGCAGCAACTGTCGCCAAATGTGCGATTGCAGCTGCTGGCAGTAGTCCGTATGGTTGTCGTGCTCCGGCGCCAGTTGCCGCAATTGGCATTGCCTGGCCAGATCGATGCCAAAGCTGACGGCATGATGCGGTTCCATGCTGTGCCTGCGGCAAGGTATCAGCCAGTGCTGATTACGCTCCCTAGAATTGCTCTGGAAGTAGCTGAGCAAGTGCTGAGGCTGTTCCGTTTCGTTTTTCGGGTCCGTCTGAAGCATCATTCCCAACAGTATTGGTGCACCCAGGACATAACCAAGTGGCCCAGAGCTGGGCTTCTTTCTCTCGTTGTCATTGACAGACTTGTAGACCAGCGCATAGCTTAGCCAAAGCTCCTGATGCTCCTCCTCCTCGTAGGCTTCTCTGAGCAGCAGCTTGGCTTCCAAAATGTGGGTATAGTTGTGCGTCAATTCCAGCTCTACGCTATCTACCAGCATGTCCACTTGTGTCTCATTCCCAGCCAGACAAAGAACTTGCGATTGCAGCAGCAGCTGTTGGCACACTTGTATGCTAATGCCCGGCACCTGTTCCTGTTCCTCCGGTTCATGTGGCCGCGACAACAACTGGTGGTTGCTGGTCACGTTGAGCAGCGTCCAGAGATGCGTTTGAATTTGCGACGCTTCGCTTAGAAGGCAGCTGCTCCGCATGGGCTGCAAATGCAACAGCGTCTGCTTCAGCTGGCATCTGGCGCTCTCATAGCCCATGGGCAGCTCCAAGCTGGACAGCTCTTTGCTCTCGGGCTGCCACAGCTGCAGCGCTTGTCCAAATTTGTAGTGCGCCGCAAATTGTGTGGACGGCAATTGCGTGTCATACCCGCTCAGCTGTTCCGGCCATTTATTGTACTGTGCTGCATCGAAGTTGTTGCTTGGAGCCTGAAGAATGAAAGAAATAACATAGGAGCAGACTATAAACAACCGACTTAATCAAGAATGCATTTGCCAGAAATTGCCTAGCCTCTTCTTTTCTTTTAACATTCACCTGTATTTTGGCTGGCTTTGTGTTGCTGCGAAAGACGCACAACCAGCCATCGCTGAGCTGACACGTGGGCAATCCATGGTTGTACTGAAAGTCCTCCAGACGCGTCGGCTGCTCTGGCAAGCAGCTGAATACCTGCAGCGTCTCCTGTGGACAATCGGGATCGCAGCAGCAATTTATTTCGCATAGATCGCTGTACAAATCACAGGCGCAGTAGGCGAAGCGAGTATTCCCGTGGAAAGGCACAGCTGTAGCATTTAATGGCAGTATTTCAGTGGTTGGAGCAGGCGCCGGGCTGCTACTTCGGGGCGCTGCGGTTGTGCGTGGTTTAGGTGTCTTGCGTGGCGGAAAAGTCTGACTGGGAGTGCTTCCAGCTTCGGGCACGGGGCTAATGTCAGTGGTGATCATGTCCGCAGCAATAGTTGTCATTGGAGTCTCTGTAGTTGTTGATGCTGTTGTAGTTGATGTTGTTGTTGTTGTGCTTGTGTTATAGCTCTGCGAGATGCCGATCTTGATGCACTGCATCGACGTCGACAGCAGGCAGATGGATAATGCAGTCAACTTCAGGCATAACATGGTTGGTAATTATTTAAATTCGACGCCGTATTCCTCAAATTTGCGAAATATCAAGCTCAGCTCAACAATTATTTTGCCAGAGCTGCGTGTCAGCAGTTTGTAGCTGTAAAAGATTAGGTTTTGCATAGTTAGTTTAAAAGCCCTCAATCGAAGTTGTAATGTATCTACAGTTATTAACTCTCATATAAACTCTTTAGCTTATTCCTTTACATAGCAAAATTTTGATCAATTTAAAATTGTGCTTAGTTGAACTTTAAACTTTGCTTAAAATCAATTGAATTTAAGCTCGGTTCAAGGTTTAAGGTTCAATCTAAAGTGCTTTAAACGTTTTTTCTGCTCATATACTATTTCTAATAGCGCGTTTGTTTCTCTATTTCTTTAGAGCATGAGGCATATAAATTGTGCTAAATTGAATTTTAATCTTCAAGCTCATATTAGCTTACGCGAATCTTTTACATATTACCATAGTTGTCTTAAGATAAAGCTTGCTTTGTCATAAGCTGATTTTCAATTTCCCATGTTCCCTGCCTTAGCTGTTCTTTACGCTTAAACAAAAGCTTATGTGGCATTTTAGGTGTCATTTAAATTTTAGTGTCATTTAAACCTACCGCTCCACTCCCGAGTAAAGTAGATCGGTTTTATGCAGCGCCGCGCCGCCGCCACCAAAACGTTCCTTGATGCTCTGCCACCAGCTGTTTGGTGCGATCTTCCAGGTGTTTATCTCCAGGCGATGAGCACCGGGTGTTGATGGCATATGCGCAAATCCGTAGCCGACGGGCCAGCACTGCTGCAGCACGTTCACGGCGTAGACCTCGACAAGAAGACGCGGCCAACCCTGAATTGCAGCGGTGCACAAATGTATGTCCAGGGGTTGAGCGAAATCGGAGCTGTTTTGTAGGCGATGGCTGGAAACGTGCGTCTGCCCCTGCAGCTCGCCCTGCACCAAACGCCAAGCGTTGCCTGTGCGCAGTGGGCGTGGCCAGTTAAAAAGTGTATACACACTATTGTAAAAATATAACTAGTTTTTCACTCGCTATTTACCGCTCTGCAGACTCCACTTGCAGTACAAATGTGGCTCGTCGAAATCAACAGCTTTCAGTATTTGTCCAATTATGTGCACCTCCGCCATCAATTGTTTTAAATATTTAATCTAACAACTATTTACTGCACTCAAGTATGTTTATTTTAATAGAATTTACACAGTTTGACTTTTAAAAGCGAGTCGCGTTAGATATTTTCATGTTTTGGCTGCCAGTCGTCGTTGCCAGGGCAACCGATTGTTGCCATGACTGCCCAGGACATGTTCTATTTGCAGGGTACACAAACACGACTAGGAAAAAAATTAAAAAATGACAAGTTAAATATATTTTTATTTATTTGGTATTGATATCATTTTGAGTGTTTTCCGCAATACGCGGTTCCATCGATAAATGCTCGATTTGTTGCCGATTAATCGTGGTGGCCACACGATATTTATCGGCGCTGCCAACCTGTACACAACGCATGCGCACGGGCTGCTGAAATATTTGGTGAATTTGTATTTGAAATCAAAATAACGTTTGTGAGTTGGAATTTGTATTTAAATGTGGTTTAAATAGCGAAAAATCAAATAAAATGTTGGCTTATATGGCATTTAGACTACAAAATATTTGAGCTCAGTTCCTCAGGGCACATCTTTCATTTGAAAAAAATTGTATATATCTATGCAGAGAGAACTTCACAGCTTGTGGCTTAATAATTAAGCAGTTTTATTAACTTAAAATTTGTTTTTTGCTACGACAACAGCAAGAACTAGACTGTGGCATATATATGTATGTATTTATCTCTGACCGAACCAAGGATCTTCTTTGATTTGCGGCACATTATATCTGATTTTAACAGGCGCCAATATATGCATAATCATGTGCTTGCACTCAGTGGTGGCTGATGGATTTTTTGGGAATACCAGCGATTGATTGATGCGCTTCAGCAGTATGTGCACATTGGAGCCATCGTAAGGCAGACGACCAAAGACCATCGCATAGCAGACCACGCCGCAGGCCCACACATCTGACATGAATGGATCATAAGCAATGCCTGAGTGGGGGATTAGTTAGAGTGATAGATTTACAAAAGCTTTGATCCGTATACCCTTCAATATTTCTGGACTGGCGTATGCGTAGCTGCCACAGAACGTCTTTGATAGCACCACTTGATTTTCATTCGTGCGCGTGTCCTTGCGCGCAAAACCAAAGTCGATTAACTTCAAATTCCAGTTCTCATCCAGCAAAAGGTTTTCACATTTGATATCACGATGTACGACGCCCTTGCTGTGTATATACTCAACGGCGCTGATCAATTGTTTAAAGAGTGTGCGCGACTGCGGCTCATCCAGAAATTTCTTCTCGCGCACATAGTCCAGCAATGTGCCGTTTTCCGCTAGCTGCATTATCAAATAGACTCTGTGATTGGGTACATTGATAATAACGAGAAGAAGAAGATTATCGGCTATAGGTCAGTCTATACCTGTGACTGGTCTCAATGCTTTGATAGAACGTTATCAGATTCTCATGATGCAGTCCCTTCACAGCCTCAATTTCGCGGGGCAGAAACTTTTGGGTATATTCGGATGGCGCCTTGACCTTGGATATTATTTTAACGGCCACCCGCTTGCCATACTCCTCGGAGAAGCCAATCTTGACCTTCGCATAGTTACCCGTGCCAATCACCTTGCCCAATATGATGCCATGCTCTTCCAGTATAGTCTTTTGCGGTTTGGCCTTTTCGTCCTTGCCCGCAGTCGGAGTTGACTTGGCCTGATTGGGCTTCTCGCTGTTGAACGTATAGACTTTCTGTTCAGTCCTCCGACCCGAATTTTGATCGGTGACTAGATCTTGCGATGAACTTGCAGCAACTGCGGGGCAAAGGTGATTGCACACATGCAATTCCATACAGTCAGATTAGCAATATTATTTTGATTCAGATACGTACTTGGGTCACCCTTTCTCTTTGGCGCTGTCGCCATTTAAAATGGTCCACAAACTTGATCTGTGGCAACCTGCGCCAGGATGTTACCGAACTCGTCGAGTGCTGTTGTCGTGAAAAAACCAAAGTATCATTGAGAATTTTACTTAAGCATATTTGTTATAAAACTTTAAAATTGAAAAACCAGAAAATTTTTTTATCTATCCGTTTTTGACAAATTATTGCCAGCATTTCTGTTTTTCAGTTACAAAACACACAAAAACACACACATACACATTTAAGTCCCGTGGTGTGATGCTTAAAGCTTACGTATATATCTTACTATAGAATTTTCACTTTATCTTTGATATAAGAGCAAGGATCTTGCGAAAAATGTAAATGATATGAATTTCCGTGATCAAATTATAATACTCCTTATAAAAGTATAGTTAAAAGTTTCTCGACAAAAGAACCTGTTGATTCGATTTCAATACCATAAATCTGAAGAAAAATATTTGACTAAAATCAAGATAAGTAAGCTTTATTATGATTCTTTGGTAAAAAATATAACAAAAATCAGTCTTTTGGTTGAATTTATCTTTGTATTCAGGTAATTTAATTCAATATATATAAAAGTAAGCGCAAATTAAATTTTATAAAATTATTTAGGTAATAATAATGTACCCTCTCTTCATTATTTTTCCTCGATACTTTCTAAGGAAAGCCCCGGTTTTGGGTAGAGCAAGAGGAACATGATTTTTTTTTAATTGAATTTATATGCCAAAGGCGTTGCGGTTACCGTGTTTATGCAGTTGCCAGTTGTGTAATAGCTCAAGCAAAAATCAAATAAGCCACACAACAACAAAAACAGCCTGGCGAGCCGACACACAGTGTGTGATTGTGTGTGTGTGTGAGTGTGTGTGTGTGTGTGTGTGTGTGTGTGTAAAATGGCCGTAACTTTTACTGGGCGGCTCAGTTTTTGTGCGCGCACAGAGCCCCTAGCCATTGGTTACCTACATTTTTACTTAACTTTGGACGTTGTTTGAGTTTTGGTTTATGAAATTTTCACATTTTTGTTCTTTCTTTTTTGTTGCGTTCCATTGCTTTTATTGTGCGCCGCCAGCCACGCCCCGGCCCCAGCCCCAGCACCCCGCCCATCAGCTTATGTTAAAGTAGCTTAAGGTCATTCGAGCGGTTTGTAAATTTCAATTGAAATGCTCGCACACTCACACATATTACATATATTTTAAAGGAGTTTTCTTTTTTTATTTGTCGTGTTTTTCCTTTTATTTTTTATTTTGTATTTTTGGCCTTGCTTCTCGTTTTACCATTGCGTGCAAGTGGAATTTTATGTTTCTGTTAAAATTGAAATGTAGCTGGCAGCAAAACAAAGTCGCCTGCAATTGGCTGTGGAATTTAATACAGTCTACTTGGCCCTACAGGTTCGCTTTACTCGCCCCTCGCACCACGCCTGCCCGCTTCAGGTGCTGCTGTCCTCGCTTCTGTATTAAATAAAATATTTATAATTTCATAATGAAAAAGAGCAGCATGCCAAAGATAATGCGAAAACTGGGGCTATACACTCTCTTTCATAATACCCCTGACCTATGCGGGCATTTTAACTTTCATCTGAGACTTGTTGCGTGTCGTAGGAGTAGAGGAGGAGGAGTAGTATATGCATATGAAAAATCAGGTTCAAAAATCGAACCTTAGGCCCAGAAATGGGTTAGAGCTATGAAACGCTTGCATCATGATCTTATTATGCAGAATGGTTTGTTGACTTTAAATAATATTTTATATAATATAAAATGATATTAGTGCTAATCTTCATTCTGTGCCCCACCAATAGCTGGGAATCCTTGACTGGATTAGCAAACCCATTTCTTACATACCTGACATAATTTATTGATACAGCACTGTGTAGTGTATTTGAAGTGCGATTTGTTGTTTCATGCATTGTGCATTCTTGTTTTGTGGCCAACATGCCCGGACATTGCTACCTGTCGCCTTTTTCGCAGCTTGCATGTTAATGCCCCGCCATTACGTTGATTTCACAATATCCTTGCACATCCTGTCCAGAGAGCAGCACACCGACAGGCTACGGTACGAACGAGCGCTCCGCAACTGAGCAGCGCAAATGTCAAAATTGTTTGTGGCAGTTGCCGCCGCAGCTGCGTTGCCAGCGGAAATGCCGCTACCCAGGACAGGAGATGCAGGATGCAAACCATAACGAGTGGAAGAGGCGGGTTGACGGGGCCAGGAGCTTCCGCACACACACGGCGACTTCTTTTCTGGCATACGCAAAACCGGCAAAACAGCAAAAATGACAACTGAAATATGCGACGCTCTGCAAATTTGTGAGTCAGTCTGTCCGACAGTCCCGAGGATCTGGGATGCTGGGCTTTGGTCCCAGGGCCCTGGCATTGTGGTTTATGTCACGCATCATCGTCAGGCGGCAGGACAGGAGCTGCTGGTGGAACAACAGGGCGCTGCTGCTTCAAGGCTGCTGCCGATGTTTCTTCTGTTGCTGTTTGCTGTTTGATATTTCTTCAGCTGCCGTACTTGCTGTTAAAGCCGGCCAGGATGTTGCCAGGACTCCTCTTGACTTATCATTGGGCAGTTCGTGTACTGGCGCCATCTACCGGCACGAGCTTACACTCGGTGACGTGTTTGCGCATAATGAGCCGCCCGGTAGGCCAAGAGCGAGTCCAGTCCAGTCCTGACTGTTCCGGGCATCGCCTTTGTTGTGGTTCATATATCCTTGCATGCATCTGAAATGCCATTCATTTGTGGCAATCCCTGCCTAGGCACCGGGCTGCATCCTACACCGTCTGCTCTGTTCCGGGATGAGCTTACGTCGTTTTTCACTTATCCGCTTAAGCTGCTCGTCGTCCTCTGCCTTTCTGGCAGTAGTCCTGTCATTAACATCAGTCGACATTTTATTTTGTTGCTGTGCATAAAAAGCAACAACAACCTTTTCACCGGTCAGAAATAATCGCAATGCAAATCTTTGTGCAACGGAAATGAGAATGAAAGAGCTTCAGAGCACGGAATAATCATAAGGCAATACACTTGTAGGGCACATCCATCCCAGCTGGCAACGGGTGCTTATCTAAAGGATAAGCTGCAAGCTGCTAAAATCGTAACCAAATGCAGCTGGTTCTTTGAGATGCTTATTATCCCTTTAAATAACCCAACAGCGTGTTGCATTTCAGATTCAAAGGGATATCTGATTGTTTTAAGATTTTTAAAATTACAATGAGTTACTGGCAGAGAAGGGACATACTAGTTATACCTTTATTTATGAAAAGGGGCGGCTGAGAGGGTTAAATGAAATAGCATTTTCGCAAACACCCCCTACAAAGGAGAGCCTGCTAATGAAGCTTTTCTTTAGCTCAGAGAGACAGGCTTTTGACCCAGATAATACCTCCTATTCCAAAAATTGTCTGAAGGTGCATTTTGCAAAGATGAGATTTCAATTATGTAGTAGGCGACCAGCAATCCCCAAGCTTAACATAAGCCGAAATTAGTTCATCTTGCAAAATCAAATATTCTGTGCAAGGACATTTTAATTAAAAATCTCTAACTAACACTGCAAACCTCACTCAAAGGGGGAGGAATTTATTAGGCCAATATGTTTTGACCAGCTTGTGATTTGCAACCCGATGACAATTTTCCCAATAGCAAAAGGCACTGATTTAAATATGTAAACAATTACATATAACAGCAATACGACTAAAATATAAATAATAAAAGGACAATTAGACATTTTGCACCAACGCAGAGGCTTTCATACATTTCTTATGAATTTTGTAACACAGAATAGACATTAAATACATATATAGAATAACTTTTTTTATTTATATACATGCGAATTTATTTTGAATTAATTTTAAAGATTTTTTGTTATGTTTTAGTATTTTATTTTATTACTAGCAGATAAATCTTATTTTTGTGGCTTGCGAAATATATACATTTCTTAAGCTTTATCTATAATGGAGTGTTGTCCTTCGTTTCAAAAACAGTTTGTGATTTACTGAAATGTTTAGTATCTTTTTTTTATGCCTAAAACATTTCGCATGTTTATGGAATTAATTTACTTAAATTAATTTCTGCTTTGGCTTCAGTTCTATCTCTTGAAGAGTATTCACTCTTCGGCTTACCCAAAACTAATGCGCTTCCTTTCGATGTCACATAGAAATATAATAAATATACTCTATACTATTATTATATGACTAGTAATTAGTTTCAGCCTTTGACTGGGCCATATAAAAAGGCTCTTGCAGCCAATTGGCATCAACAGTTGCAACTAGTTTTCACTGGCGTGTGCTAGCAAATTAACAAAGTGGTTAAAAAGTGAAAATGTTTTTCAAGTATTTAAGGGAACCAACGCTGACAGATCTGATGCCCAGTCGAGATGCGTACAAGTATTTGGAGTACGGCATGACGGCCTTAGGCTGGATGCCGCAGGCAGTGAATGCCAGATATCGCTTTCTGTACCGAATCTGGACAATATTTGTGATCACACTGGCTGGTTATTTGCCCATAGGTCTGTCCATAACCTATGTGAAGGAGTTTAGCACGTTTACGCCCGGTGAGCTGTTTACCTCGCTGCAAGCGGGCATCAATGCGCCGGGCGCCTTCACCCGTGGCATGATATCCTTTCTGAACGTGTGGCGTCTCGCCGAGCTCAAGCAGCTGTTCGATGAAATGGACAAGCGTTGCGTCAAGGATGAGGAGCGGATTGCGGTGCATCGCGGTGTGAAACGCTGCAATTCGCTTTATCTTTTATATCAGTTCACCTACACGATCTTCGTGACCATCACCTACTTGACCTCGGTAGTGAGGGGACTGACGCCTTGGCGTTTGTATAATTGCTTTGTGGATTGGCGCGATGGCACCTCCAGCCTGTTGATCGCTTCCTTTATTGAGTATCTTTTTATGTCCTCTGGCGTGTACTTCAATCAAATGACGGATGTTTATCCGCTAATCTTTGGCTTCTCGTTACGGATGCATCTGGAACTGCTGTGCAAACGCATCGAAAACTTGCGCACGGATCCCAGCATGTCCGAGGAACAGAACTATCTGGAGCTCAGAGGCTGCATTTCAGATCATAAGCTAATAATCAAGTAATTATAAGGAATTGTGTTCATAAAGACTACTTCAATGAGTTCTGCTTTAGGATTTGCAATCTAATGCGACCCTATATATCGCGCACAACCTTTGTGCAATTTCTATTCGTGGGCCTCTTGTTTGGCCTCACGATGATCAATCTGATGTTCTTTGTGGATCTCTGGACGGGCATAGCCTCAGTGGCCTACGTGATTGCGCTCTTCTTTCAGACGTTTCCCTTTTGTTTCACCTGCAACCTGATCGAAAGCGACTGCGAGAGCCTAGCCCTAGCCATATTTCAATCGCATTGGGTCGATGCAACTCGTCGATATAAATCCGCTTTGATATACTTTTTGCAAAATGTGCAGCAATCAATTAGCTTTACCGCCGGCTCCATATTTCCCATCAGTCTGAACACTAACATTAAAGTAAGTTAGCGCTTTTACTGCCCCTTGACGTTGGTTGTATATTAATAGAGCTATTTTCATAGGTGGCTAAGTTGGCATTTTCGGTGGTGACATTCGTGAAGCAAATGAACATTGCGGACAAACTGAAGGCAGACTAAGACAAGAAAAGGCTAATATTGAAAAGGCTTAAGTTGATCTGTCTATTATATATATAAAGAGTTCAGTAATTCACGAGTAATTCAGCACGAATCAGAAAACTATACTTCACTTGGATAAAGAATTGGTTGATTTTCTTTTTTATGTATATATATGTATTTATATTTGCTTCACATTTAAGAATAGACACCTGCGAAATTATCTGATATTTCAAGGAGATAATATTATCATTCAGTTAACTCTTTATTCAGATCAATTATTTTTATTTATCAGTTTCTGTTTAAATTTTGCTAAACAACGTTCCTTCAGGCTTTTTTTATACATATATAAATCTGTATATGCTTATAAAGCAAATTTGATGGCAAAACAGACAGTTTTATATCTGTGCAACATATTAAGCTGTTTTGGCCTCAAGCGTTGGCCAAAGGAGGAAAAACGAAAAGATGAAGGCAAATTGTGGCTACTTTTAAATGCACAGCTTTGAGGCAGACGAGCAAAAAGCCAAACCGACGAAATGCATGAAGGAACAGTGTAATCCCAGTGCTGAAAGGGGCTGCTCATGGACGACATAGCTTCTTTTGGCATAATAAAATAATATTTTGGCACTGGTCCAGGTCCGGGCCAAGTGAAACAAAGCAAAACAAAACAAAGCCAAAACAAAGGCAAAACAGGACAAACAAGCTGCTGAACGAAAAACAGGAGATGAAGTGGACTTGGACTTGGCTCGTGGGTTATGGCCATGACAGCGGCAAAAGTGCCAGAAGTCAATGCAGTCAAGTGGCCCGGCCCCAAAGCCAGCTACAGTCCTTTTGGCCAGTTTCTTGGGGCTGCGCAGCCTGTCAAGTTCAAGAATTAAAAAAATTTTAAACAAACTCAGCCAGGGAAATCAAAACAATAATAATTATATGGATGTGTGTGTGAGTGTGTGCCCGTTGGCTGGTTTTTCCCTCTGCTGGCAGCTTTCCCGACTTCCTGTCTGGCTGCCATGATTTTATTTGCATGCAAGCGCGTGTCAATGTAAACTATGAGCCCCAGACGCGTTTGCCATGCCCACATCAGCCCACCCTGCCTGTGCCTGCTCCCCTCCCCTCTCGGAGTGGTAGTCGGTGAAGCGTTGCCTGTTACATTTTTGGCAGGCAGCCGAGAAGTATGCAACGTCTGCTGCGGCATTGTGCATGTCTGTGCAGCCTTTGCGTACAGTTGTCCCCTGCCCCCTGCAATCGCAGCCCCGCCCAGCCCCCACCCATCAAGCGCTTGGCATTTTAGGTTCTTTTTTGCCTGCCCTTACTTCAATTTACTCGATTTTTAGGCATTTCGAATTTGCTTTTATTGCCACACTGCACAATTTTTTGCATTTAAATGCCCAATTGTTGTACTTCGCATCGCTGGCAAAAATTTATTTAAATTCATGAGCCGTCCGCTGAAAATAAAATAGGCACACGCGGTAACTCACGGCTCCTGCAATATGCATTTATTTATGTGTCAACAGCTGTTGTTGCGGCAAAAAAAAAAAAACAAAAACTGGAAGTTAAATGAAGTCGCAAATTTTCGAGTGACGAATTTGCAATTACCCTTAACAAAAATGAAAATAAGGACATTTTTTCTCTAGATTTTCAGAAAATTGTATGAATTTCCATTTTAAAATGTTGCATAGGTTTTGCCTCTTTCATAATTTTGTAGGTTTAACGTATTTTTAATTTAAGCGTAAATATGCTCCAAAAATTAATTTCTTCACATCATTTGGAATCTTTCTTATTTTCTGTAGTTTATATTTAATATATTTTTCTGAGCCTAGCTAACAATTTAAAGACTAAAGTGTTTAAGCCAACTGTCTCAGGGTCTGGGTCTGTTGCTCATTATAACATTAGTATATATAAGTAAATACAGGTGGACAGATCGACTTAATTCTTTTTCATCAGCGATTTCTTCAATCAGTACAAGGCCTGCATACGCTTTTTACTCGGTAAATGCTTTAACTTGTTGCGAATTTTAACAAGGACAAGAGCAGCAACTGAAATCCAGTTTTCTATTTACAGATAGAATTATTCCGTTGCGAGTTTCAATAGAATAATAGTTGAGCATATGCTGCTATTGTCTTGCTGACCGAACTACTATAAAAGGTAGCTATCGTAGGGTATGAAATCTTGTTTGGCAGTTTGGCGCCCACAGAGAACCTGACACTGAAATACTGAACAGTGGAGAACAACATAAATTAATATTCAGTTAAAAAATGTGCAAATATTTTAAACGCGCATGTCGCTTGTTGTTGCTGTTATTCATATTATTTTTTTTTATACCCTGAACCCATTAAAAATGGGTATAAGGGTATATTGTATTTGCGCGAAAGCCAAATGTATGTAACAGGCAGAAGGAAGCATCTCCGACCCCATAAAGTATATATATTCTTGATCAGCACCAATAGCCGAGTCGATCTAGCCATGTCTGTCTGTCCGTCCGTCCGTCCGTCCGTATGTATGAACGCAAGGATCTCAGAACCTATAAGAGCTAGAGACTGAAATTTTAGATGTAGGTGCTCCTAGTTCCCGAGCAGATCGAGTTTGTTTCCGATAATCAATAACTTACTCCGTTTCCAAGCAATAGATAAAAATCGATATCGATATCCTGTTTTTGGGCAATTTTGGTAAATAATAAGAGCTAGAGTCACCAAACCTGACATATAGCTTCTAAAATAGAATATATATATGCATTTGATGTTGGAAGATGAGGGTTCAGGGTATCCCCGACTAGAACCTCTTACTTGTTCTTTTATGTGTTACTTTTGGCATTTTTTTCTGCCATTCGTATTAAATTTTTGAATTATTTGCGCGCTTGCCGTTGAATTTATGAAATGTAAATGTTGTAGCTGTTGTTGCTGTTGCATACTTTCTGGCAACGCCTTATCTACAGTGGCTGCAGCTTGTCGTGGCCCCGAGGTAATTTACATGCATTTCAGCTATAAATTGACCAGGCACTAGTCTTCAAAAAATCCATACACTATATCAATGAGTATGTATAATATTTTGTTTGATTTATGCAAATGCTAGCACACACAGACACACTCACATGCGGTTAATTAAAAATTCATAGAATATTACATAAAGTAGCTAACTAATATTCATAGTTTCAAGTTTCCACTCAACCAGAAACTCAAAGGCCCACTTAATAAGCCCAGCCGCAGGTTTGAGGCAGGCAGTTTGAATTGCCTTCGAACGCTTAAAAGATAAACGAACCACAAACTAAATACCCTCTGCTTGCCACGCCCCATACATACACATATACATATACGCCCATATGCTGGTCGGCATTATGAGCTCATTAATTATTCATAAATATTGCTTTACGCAATTAGTTAATTCCAGGATTGATTGATTTACTTTTGTCTGCATATGTTTAAGCTTTTCAGCTGTATCTATCTCTGTCTGCGTCAACCCCCCTTGGCGCTGTCTCTGTTTGGCATGTTCGAGGCGCTTTTGTGGCATCTCTCGATGATTTGTGTCCACTTGTTGTTGTTGTTGTTGCTGCTGTTGCTGTTGTTGCTGTTGTTGCTGTTCTTGTGGCATTGTCTTCGTGGTTGTCGTTTCAAGGCAAATAGTTCGCACAGCTAACGACAAAATGCCATAAATGCTTTTGCCATCTTGTATTTGTATAGCCCGATGGCAGAGCATGGGTAAAACGAGGAGGGGATCAGGGTGCATGTAGCTGCCACCTGCTCCACCAATGTGGGTGGCTAAGTGCGCCTGGGTGTGTGTGTGCGTGCGTGTGTGTGAGTGTGTGTGGTTCAATGGCTTTGTGCATCTGTGTGTTTGATAGTTTTGAGGCGCTTTGGAATTTAATGTTCTATTGGGTACGATAAATCGACAGACATCAAGATAAATGTGCATATAAGCCAATAATATTGGGGCTGTAAGTATAAAAAAAAATAAAATTTGGTGCATGCATCTACCTTCATGAGGACACTTTTTAGGGAATCGCTATCCAATGTTCTAGACACTTTTATAACTATTTTATTATTATAATATGCCAGCTAACATCTGAAATATTGAATACAGTTTCGGTCTAGTAATAATTGTTAAATATTGATATTCTTATAAGTCTTAAGTATCCGAGATAATTAGATGAGCAGGTTGTATTCGGATAAATTGTTTTCTTTAATTGCTTTCAAGCTGAGTTTATAAATTATTGTTAAACATTCTTTATAAAATAGTCGGAAATTAGAAGAAGATGTTTACTTCTTCTACTGAGAAAGTTATAATACTTAACGAAATGGGAAACTTACAAATATATAAACGACAGAGTTTACAAAATACTCTATAAATTGTATATGCTTCTATACGAATGTATTTATGTGCATGTGAGGCAACTATCTGGTGGAATTGATATCTTAAATGATTTCACGCAACTAATCATCAACTGATATTCAAATTAATAAAACGAACTGCCGAGTAATGTGCCCAGTAGGGCTTAAATCGATAATAATCACAATGCAACAACAACAAATGCAGGGACAACTGTATGTCGAGGCACACAGAAATACATATATCTATATCGATATATCTAGCTGAATTGTCTGCGTTGAGCCACAGCTGAAAATTGCAGTCAACATAAATCGCCTAAGAGACGCAACGTTCAATAGTCAAGGGATGTGTGTGTATGTCGAGAATATGAGAAGGGCAGGATATGGAATGGGCTTATTTGCGGTGGTCGCCAAATACCGCAGTTGCATGCAATCTAAGACCCAAAGCCGATGCCAAAGCACTGCAAGGCCTGTGCGCTAAATGCAAATTAATTAGACAAGCCAAACTCAACCTCAATACAGTAACAACAACAACAACAACAACAACAACAATTATTATTATTACAACAACAGCAGGAGGAGAGACAGCAGTTGCTGCCCCACACCCACGCCCAACATCGATGCAAGCAAGAGGAGATTTGCAAGCTTAGCACTGGGCATTAGTTTGCACGGCTTTTTAAACAATAATTATTTTGTTAGCCATAGTTA